CTCCGACAGAACACAGACCAACTTTTACCTGCTGTCTTAACAGCGCGTTTTAGAAAATACCACAAATGGCGCGGTAAACGCCATCTGTAGTAGGATGCTACATTTTAGGATTACGTATGCTCCAACAAGGTCCATTTAAATATATGGATATCTACTTGCTGAAACGAACCCCGGCGTAGCTAACACCTCAGCGTGATAGGCACGTTACCATAATCGAATAAAATAATTCGAAATCGTCTGTATTCTGCCGAAACTGCCAGACGCGCTGTTAAGACAGCAGGTAAAAGTTCCCTGTGTTCAGTCGGAGCTGTCTGCGACGCGCTGATGAGATCCAAAAAGATCGAGATCGCGATCCGCATCTAGCAGTTTCGAGACAGAATACAGACGATTTCGAATTATTTTATTCGATTATGGTAACGTGCCTATCACGCTGAGGTGTTAGCTACGCCGGGGTTCGTTTCAGCAAGTAGATATCCATATATTTAAATGGACCTTGTTGGAGCATACGTAATCCTAAAATGTAGCATCCTACTACAGATGGCGTTTACCGCGCCATTTGTAGTATTTTCTTTTATTAGTCCAGTTTTACTTCATTTGTTTTATTTTGTTGTAATACCCAACTATCCCTAAAGAATATTTCTGATGAATGTGTAGACGTACCAATTTTATTTGACATATTAAAAAATTTTTCTGCAATAGACATACATCTGAATCTCTACATCTTCTTTTACGTATTGTAGTATTTTCTAAAACGCGCTGTTAAACAGCAGGTAAAAGTTGGTCTTTGTTCTGTCGGAGCTGTCTGCGACGCGCTGATAAGATCCGAAAAGATCGAAATCGCGATCCGCGTCAGGCAGTTTCGACAGAATACGGACCACTTCGAATTATTTTATCCGGGACTAATAAGTTAACAATATATTTACAAAACTAGAAGAACGAAATTAGAAGTGAAATATGGAAGTGTTAGTGTTTTGGAAGAAGAAGAAGAGAATAAAATCTGGAAATCTGAATATACAAAATACTAAGAAATAGACAGATGGAATGTTAACCCTAAACCACTGAAGAAACCTATCATTAAAAGGCAATTAAGAAGGGGCAATAGTTATTGACATCATGCAGTTAGTAAGTGAAGTTGGAATGTTGGAAGGGATTATAGAAAAGTCCAAGTAATAAAGTTATTTACACATAAACAAAAGATAAATTAGGAAAAAAATATTAGGACAGGTATTTACATAATGATAATGACAGAACAATATAACACAATTTGAATAGAAAAATTGAAAAGATATTTATACAGCAAGAATAATAAAAATAGAAATATTTAAACACGGTGTGGCGAACAGGTATGCGCGACCACAGTTCTATGTATACCAAATAATAGTTTTGATTTCACTAAAAATTTTAAAACATAAAAAGACCTTTTAATGCAGAAATAATATCAATAGACGATCTTAATCCCACCAATAACCCAATTCAACTCACTTTTAAAACCAGATGTGGATATAGTCGATTGAAATATTCAAACTAAGAGAAACTTACCCCTAATAATTTAAACAAATAAATTATACAGCTTAGCCTAGAGACTAGCATTGCAAATGCCTACGATTAGATTTGCATGTCTAGAATAAGTACAATAACTTAATATTCAATATAAAATTTCATACCCTTGGCCCTTCTTTCAATCGCGTTTAAAATTTTGACGATCTTTTCTATTTTGCCACCGTTTTCAAAAGAGTACCTTCTTAATCTACACTATGTCTGATCAATACTCCGGAAAAGTTAAGATAGAAAAAGTTACATGAAAACAGGATGAGCCATATCGCACCATACAGTGATATATAGTACATGAACCAGGTGTATGGTTGGGACGTTTAAAATTGGCAATGTTCGCAGTAAAATTGTCGCATTTACTTTCTTCTTTCAACTAATTAAGTAAACTAGAGGGGATGCTGACAGAATCCTTACTTTTAATCACAATAGACATTATAGGAAACATCGTCAATACAGGAAAGAGATGTCAGGTAGGAATTGCTGCGGATACTAATAAAGAAAAAGGAATAATATTACAGCAATTGAAGTGTAACAGAATGAGATGCAAACAAGCAGAATTTGAGCACGTTGCCGGCATCGGACTTTAAAGAAAGTTCAACATTCTCAGGAATTTAGGAAAGCGGAGGCGCTTGTTTAATGATATAATTCCAACCAGGCAGTTATAAAGCCGACTCTGATCGTTTGCGTACGTTGGTTTGAGAGGTAGAGACCTTGGCTGTGGCTAGGGTTGCCACCCGNGTGCGTACGTTATATTTTACAAGACACATAAAGTACGCAAAAATACTTTATTTAAGGCCTTAAGTAAACATCGTAATTTTGTAAGCGATTATTCGAAATTCAGAGTATTTTTACATCAATAATATTGCACAATACAATATTTTTGAGAATGTTTCTAAGTACGGAACAACCTGATTTCCCAAATCTGTTCAAAGTAGTGTCAGTTTTGCTGTCCGTTCCGGCCTCTTAGCATTTACAGAAAAAATATTCTTTGCTATGAACGCAAAGTGGCGGGACGACAGGAATAAAGCTTCATTAACACTAATTAAAAATGAACTTTTAGTTTACTTAATTCTTTATTTGCCATGAGCGACAGCAATTTGTTGTTTTTAAAAACAAAAAATAAAATACTTTATTTTTATGCTGAGTACTTTCTTTTTTTGAACCATTTAGTCGAGAAATACTTTATGTAAAACCTGAAAAGGTGGCAACCCTAGCTGTGGCGTGCAATGTACTTAGCACCCAATTTGATGAACCCTGCATACATATGCACCGACTTAACAAAAAACGCAGCAGTTGAAACGAATATTAACTAACAACAAAGCCAACATTGATACGTTTACGATATTGGCTTGTTTATCCATAAAATAACAAAATATTGTTTCAAGAGTTTTATTATCATCATATTTTATAAAATGGTGTAACCACATTATAGTTTTTATAATAATAAAGTTCTTGAAACTATACACTGTTACATCTGATTAGTATATATAAGTATGAAATAAATAAAATCGGCCAAAGGTTCAACGTTCAAAGTTAAGTAACGCAGAAAATGGTTAGGTGTTGTAAATTAAATTCGATTATATCGACGCAGATAACTTGTTTAATTTTCCTTGATATTAATTTTCCTTGATAAAGACAGATAAAATATCGTTCGTATCTTTACAATAAATTGTAACTGTCATAGCAAGCATAATTTTGCTCATTATTTGTGGTAACTCATGGTGCTGTATTTTTTATCGATCTTATTTATAACGAGTTTGAAATTCTATATTTGCATATAGGTCTAAAAGAAATTACTGAGATGAGCATTTATTTTAATTGCTTTTGGTTTGTTTTGACTGTTTTAACGAGGGAATGAGTATTGTTTATTTATAATAGCTTTAACAACTAATTCATTTGTTAATTTCAAGCTGAAAGGCAAAATAGAATATTGTTGTTACAGTTATTGCTGTGCTTAAGGGATTTTTACAAAAATTAAAATTTTATTGCTATGTCACATACTCTAATCAAACATTAATCATGCTTGTTACATCTGAGATAAGATAAGTACCTACATATACATTTATTTGAAGGACTGATATTTTTAATATTTGTAAATAAACCTGTAGAGTCAATTGAATAAATTACCTCTATTATCTATTGTTATTATGTGTCCAACTAATTTTCCAGCTGAAGGACTTATGATGATGATGATGATGATGATGATGACAAGCATCACGTGGTCCTTCATAAAAATTATATCATACAATGCACTGTAGGTTAGTACAGTAAAAATTTTATAACATTAAGTAATAAAATTGACAAAAACATTAAATATTTGCCGCTTCACTGTTTTCGTAGTTTTCGTAAATAGTAAATACCTATTGGTGTATGGTAATTACACACTTCACTTTTCCATCACTGAATATAAAGTTTCGCCATTAAATATGCAGCAAAATAAAACGCTTGAACAAATGAGCTCTGTCGAATACACCAACTACCGCTCCAGATATTTTCCAGTTCATATGCAACAACTTCCATTTGAGTTACTGTTCCATTAGATAAAGCGTACACAGCAGGAGTTGAACTTGGGTAAATTCTACTGCTAAATGTAATTTCACCGTCGCCTAAAAATATTTCGATGGAAGATTTGTCCAAAAATACTCTCATTTCTAAAGCTTCAGGATTATTTGCGTTTGTAACATTTATTAGCGTTCTTCGTGGATCATTATCTCCTCGATCCAATACAAATTTATTATTAGACGTATCTAAGTAAGCTAAAACACATGAATTATTGCCTAATTCTATTCTGATTCCCACTTGAGTGATAGCGTCATTAAAAGTTGCCTTAATAAGTATTTCAGCACTATGAACGTCAAACAGTTTTGATATTCCTTCAACATTTAAAGTAGTATTCAATAAGGTGGAAGTTCGAAGAGCTATTAGTTCTTGAACTGGATTTTGCAGTATTCTTCCTGATGACGAAAGGGTCAATTCCCTAGGTATGGTTAAAGCTCCTACCCAACCATCCTCTTGTTCTGGATAGTCTCTTTCCCACATGTCCATCCAAGCGATCATAATTCGTCGACCATCAGGCGTTTCCATTGTCTGAGCAGCATAAAAATCATGTCCATGATCCAATTCAATGAATGTGTTACTGTGCGAGAAATTATTTGTCCGATAGTTGTAGGAGCCAACAAAATATCCAGTTTGGTATATATTTTGGTAATCATCGCCATTCGCCTCAATTCCTTGAGGAGAAAGTAGCAATATATGGAAGCCATTCAGTTCAAAAAAGTCAGGGCATTCCCACATGTATCCAAAGCTGCCTGTTGATTCTGCTAAAACACCAACATAAGTCCAATCGAATAGATCATAAGACGAATAAATTACTGCTCTTCCTTGCATTGTTAGGTTATTTTGATTTCCCAAAACGACGTACAATGTGTCGTTATATTTCCATATTTTTGGATCGCGAAAGTCATTCCCTCCATTTTGAGGTGGAAAAGGTATTACAGGATTATTGATGTATTTTATAAAACTTTCTCCATCCGAACTAATAGCTAACGCTTGACTTTGCGTTGAGAAATCCCTTCCATCGATTTGGTTTACGTTTCCTGTGTACATAAGTACAAGACTTTCATTAACTACTATACCACTGCCGGAGTAAACACCATCAACATCGTACGGTTGATCTTGATAAAGAGCAATTGGCAAATGTTTCCAGTGAACCAGATCTTCACTTGTAACGTGCCCCCAGTGCATGTTGGCATGGGTAGCATCGTCGGGATTATATTGATAAAATACATGATATTCACCATTGTAGTAAGAGAATCCGTTAGGATCGTTGATCCAACCAGCCGGACTCATTATATGGTAATTTAATCTATACCTTTCATTTGTAACGGAAATACAACTAACGGTTTCAAACAAATTAAAAATAATTACTAAAATAATTATTGAGAAAGGCTTATTCACTTTAAACGTAACCAATGACATTTTAAACGAACACGGAAGAAAGCACTTTGACGAATCACTATTATTGCTTTCCTTATTTATATTACACTCATTTATCTGCATTAATACTTAAATTTATCTTTTCTAATAAAAACTCTTACATACTGCATGATCAATTAGGTAATAAAAATAAATCTCGTTTCATTGATAACAAATTTATTTTCTTTCAGTTGTTGTTTAAACCAACATAGGCACGCTCGCGCAAATACACACGCACACACTCACGCACACGCACATACGCGGTAATATTAACAGCAATATGTACTGAAGACCTAATTATCACTATAATTCTTATGTATTTGAAGTACTTACGTGTCAAGTACTGGATGAAAGGAAATTCTGAGTAGTTTCCCCCTGTAAAAGATAAAAAATAGATATAATAATATAATAAGCTGCATTGTTGAAATTTTTTAAATAGATATGGTAGCTGTTTAAATAAAAAAAAATACACTTTAGTGAAGATAATAGTGGTAGATTAAAAATGAACTACGATTACAGGTTATCGTTAAGTAAATACTTGTGTAAAATTGAAAAAGAAAATGCACTTGCAAAAACAAACAAGGTAGATTTTTTGATAAGAAATCACCGCACACCTACATGTACGTTTTTATAATAAAAAAGATGTGGCAAATTAAATATAAGTTAAATATGCATTGCTGCCATATTAGGAGAAGTTAGCTTTTGCATTCAATTATATGATAATTGTAAGCTTATAATTTAACTTGAAAACCACGCTTACGTACATCTTATATTTTAACCAGTGGACTAGGGCGCTGATTGAGTGATTATCAACAATACGTAACGCTACCGCCTGAAGATGCCAGAAGTAAGATCTGACGAAACGTCGCATCAAGAAGTAAGAAACCGACCACGGCACAACAGCCCGGAAAGTGTATATATATTAATGTAATTAGCCTTATAAAAAACGTGTACAGTGATCTACTGTTTTGTATATATATGGTTTGTGTCCGTCGAATTCTATCAAGTATCTTAACAAAGTATTTTTATCCATGCCTAAACTTTAAGAAAAGTGAATAAAAGTAGCAAATATACAAATATCCAAAATCTCTCTTGCGATGTTGTGAAGATCATTTGATGTAAATATGTTGTATTTGCCTAAAAATTGAAATGGAAATACCTGCCGATTGCATCCATCATTAACTTATTTTTCTTACAAAACATGTAATACCATGAAATAGTTAGTGCACTTCTCCAGATAGAATAATAAATTTCGTTCCTAGTTGCACTTCAGATGTAAGAATATGTCAAGAATAAAAGTTTTTTGACTGCTTACAACCTGAGTAAGTATTATTATGGTTGACAGGGCTTTCAAGCATATTGGGGGAGAGACGAAAACAGTAATAAGAAGTTCTATTGATAAAGGAAATGGGTAGCTTGAGAGTATACATTGAGAAAGTAATCAAAAGATTGTGAGAATTTTCCTTTTAAAAATCTCATGCATATGTCGATTACAATTTCATCCTATATTTTGACACTGCTAATGTTGTAGCGTATTAGTTAATCCGCAAACCTAATCAATTCAGTAGGTAATTTTAATGAAACTTTATTTTAAATAAAATATTAAAGAAAATGATTTGATATTTTATTTAGTACATTTGATTGTACTTAAGATTATAATAGGATAGTTTCTTGTGTGTCTTTACACATGCACTGATAATAGAGTAAAACAAAGATGAAGCTGTTTAATTTTGTCTTTAAACCCGTATTTATATTTTGCAAAACCCTGAGGCAAGCACTAAATTCTACATTAACAGCATTTTCTATGTAAATATGTTTAATGTGCACATATCATGCACTTTAAAAGTGAGTATGATTAATAATTGAATTATGAGTGACATCACTTTGCGCTGATTGGTGTTTCAAATTGCGTTTCAATTTACGTAACCTACAATTAAAGTATCTCGCAAAAAAAAAATTATAATCTTAGAAAAAAGATCATTCAGCAAACCACTTTTAATCACCACCATTATTGAATTTTTAATATCATTTTAGCCAAAGTTTCCCATTTAATAAATAATTAAATGGTTGTTTAGTTTAGAATTAAATTAATTAGTCCTAACTAACTTGATTCTTAAATTAAACACTGAAACCGAAAATTCCACATTAAATGTATTTAAAAACGTAAAACGAATTTCGACACACACTAGTTTTTTTTATGATATTATAATAACTGTTAACCACTTTATTACTCTAATAAGTTTATGCGAGAATTGGAAACGCAGAACAACCATTTCACATTTCGATATTTTACTGTTGATTCTGTCTGTGAAGTTCTGCGCCCTTATAAATATAGTTAGTACGTCTTTCATTTTTGGATGTATTAGTATTTGTTGGTATTATCCCAAGATACGTTAGGAAATCCTTTTAATAATTTTTATTACTGGAATTAATGTACATATAACCGAATTCTTAGTAGCTCTGACGAAGTCTTACAATTAACAATATAGGCGAAAGGAGGGTGTTATTTGCGATTATAAAACTGATTTTGATTCTTAAAATAATATTATAGATAGGGAAAACGTGCAATATGAATTTTATAGTCACAATAATTATTGTTCAGTAAGAGCAACAAAAAAGTTGGTAAGTCTTTACTTTTTCGATTTCTTTTGTTTAATCAACTTTCATAAACAAATAAATTGATTTGCTTTTTACGCGAACTATTTAAGGTTATAACATAGTTGGTACATGTTCCGGTTTCTTCATGTTCGCCTTATTTTTAACTAGTAAGCTTTTTTTAAAAAAAAAATAAAGTGAAACGAAAATAGTTTCCGTTTATTTGACCAAGCGATTGAAATCTCGATTGGAGACTGAACTTCTACCTTCATAATTGACTTCCTACCCTTCAAATCGGTAATCAATTCCATAAGCGTGCTGTTCTCACGAGAAACATAAATACTCGTCGAAAAACCGAAGAAACACGAGGAAATCTACGTTACGTATCAGAAAGAATAGGAATTTGGTATTCATAACGTGCCTGGTGCAGGGCAGGCGCCAAATATTTCTCAAATCGACTTCCCATGCTCGAAGTAGAACCGTTTCAACCGATAAATCGTCGCCATCTGATGTTTGCTACGACTATACGTCATTATATACGCGTCGTGCTCAAGCAACTGCCAATTTCGAGAAATGAAGTGAATAGTAATAAATGTTTCTTGCATCGTACGGGAATGTTTTCAACTAGGGGTAACAATTCAGTATACTTGGCGAGAACGTTTTTCATTCTTTGTTTATTACAAGTAGACTGTATATATATGTAACTATTTCTTCAGTAAGAGTGTCGTTTTGGTTTGACCTTCTCCTTCAATTGTTTGTAATTTGTCGTAGGTTCTGAATATTTTTTTGAATTTAATGACAAAGGTTGAGTATTTGGATGTTGTGCTTACGTGCAAACGTTTCGCGATATTTAACAGATGGTGTCTTCAGTGCGTTCCTTCTCAGCTGTGTAATGTAATTACATTTATTANTGTTTTTGTTTAAGAAATGATTTTAAACATACAATATTTATGAGTTATTACACGTTTTTTTTGCAAAATCATATTATTTTTATACTTTAATTACTTTTCACAATATTCAAAACATTTTTAATGGATTAACTTACAGCGTTTCAGGGAATAAATTTGAAAAATACAAAAGATCTAGTCAAATACCTAAACAATTACCCAACATTTTACCAATTGAGGTGACAGTTACTTACCCACCAAAATTCGAATGTTAATCCGTTAACAACTGCTACATTCATACCATACATTTTGCCTACTCTACCTAGCGCCATTTTGGAGAAATTATGAAAGTAAGATTAAGAAGAAGAATAAGAACGTCCTAATTTCAAAATAGCGGCTGTATAGGAAGGAGAATGTGACATTATTTGAAACCAATTTCAAATAATGGCTGTATATCGCCTATAACCACCAAATTAGTTAAAAACTTTTGGATATTTGATTTCATAAATTCTTTATCATTTTCATAGTTGGTAAGGAATAAATTTTAACTCTGACAATAGAAATAATTTTCAATGCAACTACTAAATGAGTTTTATTGACATGGGGAACCTTACATTCTAACCTAACTGAACCACATAATGCAATGCGGAAGAAATCAGAACTACAGAATCCATTTTTAAAAATGTATAAAATTGCTGTTCGGAAGGTTGAAGCTATTTTAAAACATTAATGGAAAAATATGGTTCCACTGCTTTTGATCCAGACTAAGAATACATACACATGTAAGGTCAAAAACGATACTGTGAGATAAAAGGGCCAAATTTTCAATGAATCTACTTGTTCCTATTGCTATTTATATGTGTATCAGAAAAATTCGTTTGAGAGTAGCATGCTTCTGGCGATAATGTTTGTTTTATTTTTTTCCGATTATAAGGATTTCAGTACTTATGGATGGTATTAAACTGCTCGATATTGTATGATGTTATACTTATTAAAGTATCCCTCATTAAAACGTCCGGTAACCAGCGAACAGTATAAGCAAATCGCGGAAAAAAGAGTAAAATTTAAATAATACACCCCCGGAATTGGCAGTAGTGAAAAAGTAAGAACTCTGGAGTTTTTACAACAAGAATACAGACATTGATGGTAATATAAATGTTTAATCAGTTTTTAGGGTAGAAGTAACACTAGTCAAATATCGAGCTCAATAACGGGAAGCTGGTGCATATTTGCATTATCCTTCGAATAATAATAAAGTTATTTTTATATAGTTCTAATTTTGCTCACATCTGCAATGAAATCCCTGCCAAAGCCAAAAGTAAAATGAGCAACAAGGTAAAATCTAAAATTAAAAATAAAGCCAAACGAAGTTACGGAAATTTTATCCGAAACAATGCAATTAACTTTCCCAAAGAAAAAGAATTTGGATAATTATTTGACGTTAACGAAATCCAAATGGAGACCTAGTTCGAAAAAATTTTGAAGAACTAAAGAAATTTCGTTTCTATAAGTCACAAGTACCTGAAAATGACTATGACACTTTCATATTATCGTTTGAAATAAGCGATGAAGAAACTCCTTATTTCCGTTTCTTTATGATTTCCAAAACATTGTTAAAATTACCTGTTGAAGCTAAACACGCTCATACCGATCATTATTATTATCATAAGGTTCTCAGGCTTTAAATAAAATGGAAGCGGTATTGACAGAACAGTACTGTATGGAAATAAAAAAAAGTAAAACAAAAATACCGACATGCAAGGGAAGAAATAGTCGGGAAAGAGCGAATATAAAGATAGGAAACGATGAATTAGAAGTGGCTGATTTTAGATATCTAGCAAGTTAGATAAGTCAGGACGGAAGGAGTAGTAGGGATATGAAGCAGAGAATAGC